CTTAAATCGGATAAATCCAAACTGAAATTTCAAATTAATAAAAATATGTGTGGGTTAACTCCAAATTTCGTCCGAAATTAATTTTGTGCGAAACAAAATAAAAAAAAAAAACAAAGGCTAGGAAATTTGAGTTTTTCGCATAAATCTTGAGGTTATCTGAAAAAGAAGTTGATGACATAGCCAGGGAACTTTTCCTTATATATAATTTTGCCTTACAACTTTATATAGGACTCGCAGTTTTGCAGGAGATCGAAATAAAGTGTTATTAACCTTCAACGACACACGCCTTTCTCTTTTTGACCACAGAAAACGAAGTAGAAAATGACTCCAATTTCACCAAAAAATAGTCAGCAATATATAATTCAAGCTCAAATAGATGTGCTCATTTTTGTTTTTTCATCTCTCGTTTACAATGGGTTTCAGCTTACTATTGTTATAATTTTTTTTTGTTACTCTGAAAAAGTATCTACCCTAGTCTTTTTGTATCTTTAATATCATTTATCTTTTTTAATGTTTTTTTTTCATTTATTTTTTAGTGAAAGTTTTACTCTAACACTCAAACTTCAAGAAAAATTTAATCCCAGCTTATTGCATTTATGTATATTTTCTTCTTATTTCAACCCACTGTACCTTGTCCTTCGGCCATATATTATATTAAGTGATTTTCGTTGCTAATTTTCTCTTTCGGCTAAGACTAAGTGCTTTTGTCAAAAAAAAAAACGCCATAATATTCACAAATTATATTTCATTTTTGGCAGCAACACGCACTGAGTTTTTCGCTTCCTTTTCTTTACTGCAAGCTATACGTGTTTTTTATTGCAGCAATTCCATTTTCTTTGAAACACAAAACATAAGGCGATTAAATGAATGAGCCTAAAAGTGTGCTATATGCGAAAAATTTTCACGGTCGTGCTTTGCAAATGGTATTACGTCAGCACACGTGCGGCTGACACTAATGAGAGTTATATATTTTTTTTTTTTTTATTTTTTCATTTTTATTTATTTTATTTGAAGCAATCGATTGCGATTTGGTACTGATATACCAGAAATTTGATTTTTAATTACAAGTTTTAAAACGCACAGTTTTTTGTTAGCTCTAATGACACTTTCTGATTTTTATCTTAATTCTTGATATTTAATATATCTTCTTCCTTTATTATTCTTATAAATTTCGTAATTCATTTCTGGTCATACTTCTTCAAAATCCATTCATCAAAATTGTTGTGGTCTTTCAATGTGCTCTTCCACACCGCCTTCAATTGTATTTTTCCAATTGTTCTCTAATCTAACTCCCATGACCGACAACAGCGGCAACAAAAAGTCATCTAGCTAGCCCCCCACCATCAATGCTAAACGCTTTCGCTGGCTATGAGTCATCGGTATAAATCGCCTTGGCGCCTCATGTCTGCACATAGTAGTCGGCATTGCTACACGAACGAATATAAATTTTATATAGCCTATTTGTTGGCGCTGAGCCGGTCGTCGCCAGCTACACCACACAATTCCCTTCATCTTACATGCTCTTGCTGAATTTACTATTCTCTATTCGTATCTGGAATATCAAGTCATTTGGCGCGTGTGTTTGTGTGTGTTCTATTTAAAATATTTTCTGCTTTCATGACTATTGTTTTTGTTGTTTACTCGTAGGTACTATTATCGTGTGCGGTGCCGGCGCTTTGAGTCACGGCTTTTGTTCTTTTCTCATTACGCTTATTTTAATTTTATTATAATGTATATGTATTTACTTTTCATTCGAGACCTTCGTGAAATTATGAGTATAATTAATAGAAAGAACTAAATATAATAATAAAATAAATAAATAAAAAAGTCGAAACATTTTTTTAGTCAAAATTGACGTTGCAAATAATAAGTATAGATGAAAAAAGGTATTTCCGATGAAAATTCAAGCCCTTAGTGATATCTAATTAGTTTATAATCCATTATGTCAGAGCACATGGCTTAAAAAGTCAACGTGTGATAAGGAACAAAGTAGAAAATGGTTTCGGTTTCACAAAAAATAGTCATCACACCAATAATTAAAGCTCAAAATAAATATGCTAATACACCCTGTTTTCCCAGTATAAACTGTGCTTCCAATAAAGGTGATAGCTAATATTGCTGGATGAGGTACTGACAGTGAGGCCGCAGAGTCTGTTGAAATTCGCGTCACGCCTAGGCATCCTAAACTACTCCTCTTGGACTTAGCAAGAGAACTAAATCTGGCATCGCAAAGGACCAAACAAGTCTATGCGTGCCTTATTGGTCTACCAAATTAAACTAACCTAACAAGCGAACGATCAATAACTGAATATAGCATCGTTCAACTGGTCTCCATAACTTCTTTTGAGGGAACGATTTCGTTGAAGCCAAGTTTTGAGTACTTTTTCCACTAAATCAAGGCGTAAGTTATTAATAGCATGTTCAATATTTACTTCTAAAGCTTGAAGAGAGTCCGGTTTATTGCTAAAGACCAAATAACCTCCAAGCCTTCCTCGCAATAATTTGGCTGTTGTACGTTTTGTGTGGTATCTAGCTCCGTCTTATTGGGATCAGATATTGTCTAGAACAACTTCTTTCAATTGCGACCATAAAAAGTTTTTATCATCGATCTATACCGCGTATCCATTGACAGTAACAGTGTCACCAGCTTCATTTCGAAAGCAAAACGGACCGATGATTCCAGCAAACTACACCTAGTAGATAATTTTGGTGAATTTAATGGTTGTTCATTCATAATTTTTGGACTTTATTGACACCGGAATCTACAGTTTTGTTTATGTATTTACCGCACCTCTCAGATCACAGTGAGCCTCTGCGGAGAAGATGATCTTCTAAGGCAAAATCAGTCAAATCAAATCAGTTCTTCAGTGAGAACAACTCTACACGGAACCAAGCCCAAACCCTTTCTGAAAATAAGCTAGGTTGCGATTTAAGACAGTCCCAATTTTTGAGAACATTTTGGAATCGACATATTGCGGCCTTCCACAACACTTGCTTGAACGGCAGTAATATTGTCATTTCTTCGAGCGGTTCTTTGTCTTTGGCACTTGAGTATTATGTAAAGCCAATGCATACTCGGAATTTTCATCAATTCGACGAATAGCGAGTACAGGTAGACGATTATTATGAACATAAAATGGCAAAAGCGCACTAAAAGTTGCAATTGGAAAGCGATTATATCGATAATAGAATTGAAATTTGTAAACGTAGTCAAAAGATTATTGCTTTGATTTGTGGATGGATGGCTTGAAAGACGAAAAAGGTCCTAGGCGGCAAACCAAGTTTGAAGATGAGAACTAGAAGCATTACTTGATGGATTGTTACCAAGCACAAGAAGAGATCTCAGAATCTTAAGAAGTGACCAAGCAACAACCAGCTGCATACATCCAAAAGCAGGGAAATTGGATGTCATTTGAATTGGAGCTAAGGCTAACAGGCGTTAAAAAGCTATTTTGCGTGACAGAAAATCTGCTTTAAAGCTACAAAAAGGAGTCGTTTTTACATCGGATTTTGATTGGTGATGAAAACGGGTTTTATTGCGGGTACCGTAAATACGAAAAATCATAAGTGAATTCTGTGCAACCAGCCAAGTCAATGACAAAGCCGAATATCCAAAGCACTCGCTATTTTGTGGCGTGAGAATTGCGTGCTATGTTATGACCTTCTAAAACTGAATGAAACCATTGACGGCAAATGCCACCGACAACAACTAATCGAATTGAGTGATTGCCGAGAAACGCACGGATTTTACGACAAGACCCGAGGCAACCATTTTTCATCGCTACAACGATGAGACCGAGCGTTGTCGGAACAGTTAAAAACTATTTGAGTAACAGCAGCAGGGAAGTTGGCTTACCTGCCTCATAGCCCAAACTGTGCCACTTTTGACTACCATTTGTACCGATCGATGCAGAACAGCCGCACTGAAATATTGTTCGGTAAAGGGTACTAAAACATGGCTTGATTCATTCTTAATCACCAAGCTGGTTCCGTTCTTTTGGAATGAAATCCAAAAATTGCCAGAAAGATGACAAATTGTTATAGCTTCAGATGGGCAATACTTTGAGTAATACTATTGTACTACTATGGGCAAAATATAGTACGACATCCGTCGAAATTTTTTCCTAGGCTAGTATGATTGTCACTCACACTTGTGCCAAAAGCCATTTCAAAATAATTATTAGTGATTAGTAAACGCTTGTCTTTCTGGAGTACATAAAGTGCATTCGACGATTTTTACGATGAGTGAAATTATTGCATAAGTTCCCTTAAATGTTGTGTGTGGAATAAAATTTCTGGTGCGGAAACGTTCAGATTGTTGAAATTATGGGCCGACAACTCTTGGCTTTTGCACCGCCGCATACTGCATTGATTCTTCGTGAGTTTTTCGCCAAATTTTCAAACAATATCTTGTCGCTACCACAGTATTCGCCTGATTTAGCTCCATATGACTTCTGGCTATTCAGTAGATTCAAACGATGGCTCCTGAGAAACCATTCAGAGAATAAATTAAGAATTTTAAAATTATGAACAAAGTCTTATTATTTTTTGCCCACGGTGTATTGTGTCTGTGTTAACCAGACAACAAATATTTTTTGATGCAATATTCTATATCGCAAAAAACTAATTTAGCACAAAAATATATATATTTTTTTCTTGTACGTTTCTTTTAAATGAACTTGTATATGATGTATGCCTGAGAATGATTCGGAAACTAGCTCTGATAGACGTAGATAGAAAGTTGAGTGTGTAGTGACAAAAAACTGACATATGACAGCTGACAGTCTACTAATTTCCACTTATATAACGTTAGAGGTTAACTTTTTCAAATCAACTTCATATTCCATATATTTTCTTTCAAGAAAAAAAAATATAAAATAATTATTTTCCAACAGAAATCACCTACAATAGTTACACTAACGTTCGGCGAATGGTTTTTGCATAACAAACAGTGACAGACAATAAACAACAATAGGAGAATTTCATTTATTTTAGCTTACCAGCTGGCAAAATGGGAGCCCGGCATGTATGGCAGAAGCACTGCATCACCGAATCGCGTACTAATCCAATCAACATGATGACGACTGCACTGACTAACGCTGACTAGCGACGACGACGACTAAGCGACTAAGTAAACAAAGAAATTTATTGATTTTAAACGTGACTCTTGGATTGATTGGCAGCAACACAACGCTGGTGACGAGATTCAACGTTGTTTGTTTGGAAAGAAAGTTGGTCGCTGTGGCTCTGTGTGGGTTTGTGTGTACGTAGATAGTAGCTGCCTGCCGTTGGATTTATTAGAAGTGAAATGAATAGCAATACAAAAGCGGTGACACTACTGTTGACTATCGGTTGTTGGTTGATGGGTGGCGATATTTGTCACCGTTGTGCTAAGACACGCACACAAATGGACAGACACGCAGTGGTTGGGGTTAATTGGATTAGAGCGCACACACAAGTCAGTGTGTGTGTGTGGAGGGTGAAAGATTTTGTTGAATGGTTTTATGCACACGCTGTGTTTTAGCGACGATCTTTTAATTATTTTTATATTTTTTTGAATTTCTGGAATTTTTTTTTTCAAAATTTTTTAATATTTTTTTAATA